AAAGATGAAGAAGCCTCAGAACTGGAAGAGGACGTCGAAGCCGGAGCCTTGACTCCACGCCCCACAATACCTCGACGCACTGTTCCACGTCCTCCGCTGAGTCGCCGACGAGCTGTTGGGGTGAACCGCGCGAGATTTGGTGTAGGTATCGTCCGATGTCGCAACTGGAAACTCAATGAGGAGGATACCGAAACCGAGGACGAAAGCTCGGAATCTTCGCCACTAAGAGAAAACTCAAAGGCTGCCAAGTTTTTGACAAATTGTGGATACTCGGAAGATTGTGATAGTGAGAAGCTGGAAGACAAAGTTAGCGCGTCAGTGTTGCCCATTGATCCGACCCTTGCTTGCTTCGATCGCAGCTTTAGTGAAGACCAGTGGCAACTGCGTTCGCCCTCTCCAGATGAGAAATTTGTTCCTGAAAACTCGTGTTGTGGTGCCACGACAGTTGAAAATACTGAGTGTGGATCTGATATATGCAAGCCCACACCGATTCACGCTGTACATGTTGAAAGCACTTCAAAATATTGACAAAAACTTCGAGATAATATTTACTACAGTTTGCCGTCGTATCCGAGAAATAACGCGGTCGAGAAATCGACCATTGCGTCGTGCAATCGCTTCTGTAAAGCAACAATTTTGCCACGTGCCAGATAAAATTCTTTTCGTGATGGCAATTCGTTTATTGCTTTTTTGAAGTGCAGCTCCGCGCCAGCCATGTCGCCACTGCGAGCAAGTGCCACCGCTTTATTTGCATACGCGTAGCTGCAGTGTGGCAAAAGTGAAATTGCCGTGTCAAAATGAACGAGAGCGTTAGCCACATCGCTGAGACTTAAGCAAACCACGCCGAGATTGAGATGTGCCACACCTGACGACGGGTCAAGTTCAAGAGCATGTTGCAACTCAACCGCGCTTTGCTCAAAATTACGTTCCCGGAGACTGAGTGTTCCCAAACACACGTGAGCGTGTACCGACATCGGGTCGAAGTGAAGCGAATCCTCGTAATCTTGGCGAGCTCGAGTTAAATTCCCCATTTTCTCCAGCATTACACCTCGATTCAACATATACAACACGAGCATTTGCTCATTTGATCCAGTGAGACGAACCTTGGGAGCTGGTGTCTCCATCTGCGCCAACAGCGTGGCAGCAGCACTCATAGATCCACCATCTTCATTCAGACCTTCCGTGTCCGTAGAGAGCCGACGAGTTCCTTTACGGTGAACAGTTTTTCGGTCAAGGGAGTTGCGATGAATGATGCCACTTGTAAACGCGTAGAAACTATTCTCCAGATTGGCAGACGAAGACACGCACGTTCGAACGGCAGCATCCATACATGTTATCGCTTCATTCTGTCGACGTGGAAGTTGGAAAAGAGCAAGCGCTTTGCTCTCCAAGCAGGCATGATTAAGTGGCTGTTCGCGTGAAATGATATCACACTGTCTGATCGCCGCACCCATGGCGTTCTCCTTTCTCAAACAACTCGCCAGGTTGAGACGAATATCAACATTTGATGGTTGCAATCGCACAGCACGTAGGTAAAACCTTCGAGCTCGTTCAAGATAAGTTGCGTGTTGTGTTTGCTGGAGATGCGTCCCACTCTTTGTAGCCAAGTTAAAGTACGCATTCCCGCCGTCGACGTAAGTATCACGACCAAGCCGTCCATATGCGGCAAAATGCTTTGCAGCATCTTCGTAGCGATTGAGTTGTAGCAACGCAAAGCCCAAAGCTCCATGGAGTTCATCGTCATCTGGAGCGCTCTGTTGAACCTCTTCCAGGTCCTCCAACGCACTTTTGAAAGACCCCAAGTGGCAACGAACAATCGCGCGGTTGCGGTGTGCTGCAACATCGCGACCTCGTCCAAACAACATGATACTTTGGTTATATGATTTTTCCGCTTGAGCCCAAAGCTCAAGTTTTTGATACGCCGCACCGCGGTTGAAAAGCGCATAGCCACGCATCTCTGCGGTGGCTGTAGTCTCCAGCTTGATAGCTTTGTCAAAGTCTTCGATAGCAGCGGCGTATGCAGAGAATTGACATTTCAGCACACCCAGACTCACATGAGCCCGAGCATATTTCGGTTGACGCTCCGTTGCAGTCTCCAAGTCACGAAAAGCGCGATCATATTCCTCCCCTAGTGCGTTCAGCTCTGCTCGATCCACATACGCGTCTGCGATGAGAGGCTCTAGCCGAATGCACTTGGACAAATCCGCGATACTGCCCACGAAGAACTGCTTCATCATTTTGTGCACCAAAGTTTCATCTTTTACAGCATTAACACCCAAATCTCTTTCAACTTCTCGCATAGAAATACGCGGTGCGAATGGCGATCGAGACACTCTCTGCGCTGCGTCGGTATCACTAGCGAAGTTAGTCTGGAAGGCCACTCGCCATCGCATGTACAGCTGCATTTGAACGACGCCACGCTCGTAGTACACACGTCCTTCTTTGGGCGCTAGTGAGATCGCTTTGTCATATTCAGCCATTGCACGAGTGAATTGACCGACGGACACGAGTAATTGAGCGCGTCGAGCGTATCCCCTGAAGCTAGACGGGTCGGTATTCACAACCTTCTCACTCACACGCAACGAATTTTCAGTGTCACCCAGTGAATGCAGCGACTCTGATAACAGCACAAGGTTCTCACTCGTTGGGTTCTCTGCCACTGCCAGTTCGAAAGCACGTACTGCACTTTGGAAACGTGACAAGAGCTGGAAGGCTCGTCCACATAACAACAGAGCATCCTTCTTAGGCTTGCTGTCTTTGTTGGTTTTAGTATCGACTGAAGTCGGTAGATCATTGGTGACTTGTTCTACGAAGCAGACGAAGCTGTACAGCGCTGGTCGGGCCATTTTAAGCGTCAACTGGAGTCTTCCACGTAATAGGTGCGCCCAGCGATCGCTAGGATGTGCTCGGGTTAGCCGCGTGTAGTCTCGGAGAGCTGCGGCAGTGTTTCCCTGACGAGTGTACGCTTCAGCACGCAGATAAATGGCCCGAGATAGTCCAGCATCATTAGCCAATGCACTAGTGCAAGCCTTAATGCACTCTTCACTGTCGTGGTAGTGGTTCAGATACACCAAGGCAATTTGCAGCCAGACTTCGGACAACGTCGGATCTGTGGTCACTGCAGCCTTGAAGTCTTGCAGAGCGTTGTTGAAGCGCAGATCCCGCAGATGTAAAGCTCCACGCACAGTGTATGCTCCTCCAATAGTTGGGTCTAATGCAAGACATCGAGAGAGATGCTGCATGTTGTTGGCATGGTGTGCAGCGGCGGTCTCTGTGTCTTTATTGATTCCAGCAGCAGAATCTTTCGCTAATAACAGAGTCGCAAAGGCACCTCGATAGAAATGAGCCACGGGATAGTGATACTCCATCACCACGGCGTGATCAAAGTCTTCCAGTGCACTAACTTTGTCATTTGACAGTACATACAGTCGTCCTCGTTGAGCGTGAATCGCAGCTATCAACAGCTCACGATCTACTGTTGACAACGAGTGATAATCAGCAGCTCCAGAGCCCAATCCGCTGTTATTGCCAGGAGACCTTGGCGCTCGTAGTCCGCCACTCGGGTCAAGAACGAGTAAATGCAGTAGACGTGTGAGATTCTGGATAACTTGGCGTAACACGGTGAGATCGCCAGTGAACTCCAGCAGCCTTACTGTAAGATCACCCACAGTCTCAACAACTTCCACTAGAGTGCAGCCCTTGTGAAGTGCGTTCACGTAGTCTTGGATAATCGCTGCAAGTAACTCTTCATAGAGTAAGTGTTCCGAATGATACACGAGACTTTGTTCGTCACCTTCAATGGCGCGTAAACGCAAGGTCGCTCGGTCATAGTACGCCCTCCAACAACTCCGGTCTAGCACTAGAACAGACGTCAAGTCTTGCAACGCTGCGCCGACGGCACGACTTCGATGGAAGATCTCAGCACGCAGTAACAAAGCTTCAGTGTATTGCGGATGCAGCACTAGTGCGCGGTTCACATCGGCCAGAGCGTTCTCCGCTTCCCCCATTTTGCTGTGCAGACACGCTCGCAGTAGAAAAAGACGCTGATCTTCTGGACGTAATTGCAACGCGTGAGTTAGATCCTTGATGGCTTGAGTCCACAGTCCCAGTCGACGACAGCAACGAGCTCGTAGCAATGTTGCTAAGATGAACTCTCGATCAATAACCACACAAGCAGAAGCCAATAGAATGGCACGCTTCCAATCCTTCTCCGCTTCTGACAGCAAGGCTTTTAGGAACAGCTCGTCTACTGTCATATGTTGATCTCCTTCTTTCAAGTAAGCTGCCAAACTCTCCACGAGGTCGGAATCCATAGCTTTGATCGGAGTTCGATTGTCAATTGTAGATCTCGAGTTTGATCCGTTTCTGCTACTCATGCATGAGTTGGGGCGACGTTGCAAGGCTGCGTCATCACGTAAAGCCACTTCAGTCTGAGTGATCACCGACATTTCTTGACGCAAGAAGGACTTCATGGCTCTCTTGGCTATCACATGACGACAGATACGTAGAATATGTGCTGACGTAGGGTCAAGCTTCGCTCGTACCGGGATGGCAATTGTTTCGTCTTCACTCACGTCTGCTAAATTCGACTGTAGGCGCTTCAGTTTGTCCCTTGTTGGAGAAAGTTGAGCCGGTTGAGTGAGTAGCTTGCCTTCTCCTATTGTCCGCAGCGATGTCCCCTTCGCCAGATTCTGTCCGGTTAGTGGTGATATACTTGCGCTTGACATTAACCCCATGCGATGAGCGGTTTGGCTAATTGCCTTATCCACGGATGCAAGCCTATGGAGAATTGGACTTGGACCCCCAGTCTCGTCGGGCGCATTATCACTGACGCGTTCCAGCGAAGATTGTCGATGTTTCAGTCCAGGTGTAGCTGCAGTCGATGTTATCGTCGGAGTCTTCCCACTACCGGAGGGATTTAATGCCGTCACACGAACATGTTGTTCCGTCTCGCGAAGCTTCCTGGTAATGGTACTGATGTTTAGAAACTTGCGAAGAATAACGCCACGGAGCACATGTTGCGTAAATACTTCTGATTGTTTGTCACCGGCGTTACGAATCACAATTGGAGTCGCGAGAGTATCATCCATTGGCTCCGGTTTAACAGGTTCTGGCTCAACCTCGATAGTCTCCACTTCTTCAGGGGTACGAACTTGGGAGACAGTTGATCGCAACTTTGAGCGTTCGTGTTCGGCCTCACTTGTCTCTCCTACAGGCGGCAACGGCTGAAGTCGGATTGGTGTCCCTGGAACAGGTTCTGGATGTGGTGGATGAGGCTCAGTCACTCCGATACTAGCTCCAGAGACTAGCAAGTTTGTAGGTGTCTGCAACCGGACAGATATAGTGGTTGGAACGTTAACTGCTTTATTGTTTGAAGGATTTTCGCTCAGTGGACGAATGGGAGTACTCAGGCGAGAATTATCTTGCCTTGGAGTTGATGGCATTGACTGAGTGGATGTTGATTGGGTAGTGGACGTTGCTGGCGTTGTCAATCCTGGTCGTGGCGTCACCGGGCCATCGAAAAGGTAGTGACTACTCTCTGGTATAGCTTGAACCTCAACAACGGACGTGTATTCTTCCCACGGAGCCACTTCCGCCTCATTTTCTGTTGCTGGATTGAGCGTTGCGTTGATGTCAGGTAGTCCATCCGTCCTTGTGTCCGTAGCAACTTTCCAATAGGTTTGTCGTCGCTGTGCACTTGGAGACGGTACTATCGCATGAGGCGTCAACGGTTTACCCTGCTGGAAAGTAGATGGAGACTTCATTGGCGTCATCGACTGCGGCTTCCACCGGAAATACTTGGGTGTAATCGATGGCGTTGGGACATAGAGTTTTTTCACAGGCCGTGGACTAAACAAGACGGGGAGTGCTCCAGCAGGAAGAGCAGACCCGCCCCTTGATAGCGTATCATCTTCAGCTCCACGTTCATTATCAGATCCAGCCTCGTGATGCCTGCGATGTTTACGATGTAACTTCTCGCTTTCGTTCTGGGTAATAACTCCCAGTGGTGGTCGCTGCTGAGCTGGCCGGACGTCAAAGAGCAGAGGACGCCGCTTAAGCTCTGGATCCATGGGAGACTTATTACGCCTGGAAGCGCACCAAGTGCATTTTTGCAGCAATCAGCGTTTCCTACCGTTTTTTTCCAGTCACCAAGAGTCACATACAGAGTACCCGACCTATTTAGCAAAGTCAGGAAATAAGCGAAATCCTTGACAAGCAGTCAGATTCTCAGAATAAAGCGGCCAGGGTCGTTATGTCTAGTCATCCAATTCATTTACTGCTCGCACACACCGTCTCCATTTACCGCAAGTCAGCGTTGTTCATCTTTTCCTCCAAATTAGCTAGGCATTTACGCTACCGAAACAACAACAAAGTGGTTAAACCAAGTACTCATTCTATATAACTACAGCAGAAAGTTTACCTGCCACGGCGCGAGTCGATGCGACGAATCGTAGCGCTTCGACGCCGTCTCGAGAATCTGTGGAGACCACTTGTTGCACGCCTTCAGCAAGCTTGACAGGAAAAAGTCCATATCACTCGATCGGTGGCTTTCGCCCATGTGCTCTGTGAATCGGTTGAGCATCTCCTCCGCCCCGGCGATATCAAGCTGACCGAGACGACAGAGAACAGCATTGCCATACGCTTCGTTCGCGAGATCGTACTGTCCATTGCCGCGTCGAATATCACCAACTGCTTCGAAGCAACCCTCGGCAAGCGACCACAAGCTCGCTTCGGCATATGCACGCGCAGCCCATAGTCCATACTCTGCAGCGCTGTGCACACTGCCGCCAGCCTCCGCAATATTCTTCGCCTGTACATACAACTCCGCCACCTGCTTCGCCAACGCTGTGGCCTTGCAATCCGCTGGAAATCTACGCTTCAGCCTCAACGCCAACTCGGACAGTCCACGTGCAGCTTCATCAAAGTATCCAGCCGACGCCAATTCATCGCATACGGCGCGAATCTTTTTCACTAGCTCACTCTGTTCTGCCGGGTACGTATCCACTTCCTCCAATGTGCACCATGCTGCTTCCAGCTCATAGTTCCCTCGAATCACCACTGTACTAGCCGCCTTAGCAGCCTCTAAGAAGAACGCCGCTGCTTTCTTCCAGTCCTTCCTCACTTTGCACTGTAAGGCCTTGGCTCTGATCTCCCGATGCGACTCTGTCTCCACCTCTTTGAACCCTGTAGACTCGGGTACTCGTCTCCGTCTGAGTGATCCGGATCCTGACTCAGTTCCGGATCCTGACCCGTTCACAAGGTACTTGTCAATACCCGACATGGTTCCTCCTCTCGAGATCTTCAGCACCCACGGCGCTCGACAAAGAGCCTTGATGTAATCCCCAGATTCGTCAGCCCAGCGCCATGTCCCGAAGATGCCAAAGGCGTAACGTTCTCTCGACGGAACATGGACGACACTGAAGACCAGTGCGTTGTGGAAACGCCAGGTTAGTGGCTCATTGCGAACTAGAGATTTAGCTGTCTGGTACATGGCTGAGAACCACTTGGACACGCCCAGCGACGTGTCCGGCACGAGATCTGATGGCTCTGTCTGCTGACTGATCCATAGAGCGAAGGAATGGTCCGATGGGTTGGTGACTGCAGCGGCTAAGAGGATAACAGTCACGAGAGCGACAAAACGGAAGAGTGTGGCCACAAGAACGGGTAATAGCGTTGCCATGAGGAACATCCCGAACACTGCAAGTAGAAACATTTAGAGCGCTGTAACTTGGGTTCTAGAGCGAGATAGAATATAAAAATTGGTTTATGTACAAGCTTACGAATTAGAAAGATAGCATTGTTAGCTGTCATGGGCGCAGGGGCTGTTGGGGCCGCAGGTTGAGGTGGCGCTCCCCATGCCATGACGAGGAAATCAGGTGTGGTGACGTACTGTGGGAGATTGTGCTAAGTACGGGCAGTGGTACAGGGTACCAACAAATACGAATGTAGCCAAGCTCAATAATCTAACAAGCAATGGTGGCGACGACACTGCAGCGTCAGGATGGCCGTGCCGGCAACGAGCTGCGGCCGTTTGCGTCCGAACAGGGAGCATTATTTCGCGCTGATGGCTCTGCTCGTATGTCGCACGGTAGCAGTACCGTGCTAGCGGCGGTATATGGCCCCGGTCAGGCGCGCAATTGGCGCGCTGAGAAGACGGACAAGGCTACATTGGACGTGTGCTTCAAGCTCGAGAAGGGCATCATGAGTGCGTGCCAATGGATTCAGCAAATTATCAGTATGGTGGAATGACTTATGCTACTGGTGATGATTGTGTTGATGTTTACAGCCTCTAAGGAGAAGGAATACGAGCAGATTATCCGAGAGACCTTCACACCAGTTGTGCTCACCGACAACTTTCCGCGCGCCGTTATCAGCATCGTGGTGCAAGTGATCGAAGACAATGGCTCTATATCCTCTCCACTATTTTTTATTAGTTGCATGTGATGATTGCTATTGGGGTGTGAAGTTGCGTTGGTGAAAAAACCTGGCGTTGAGCTGGTTAGTTATCCTTAACCTTTGGATTGGTGATCTTGTCGTTTGGTTTCAGCACCTTCTTGCAGTTGCAATCAATGCGGTGAGTTTGGCGCTGATGGACGCTGGCGTTCCCATGATTTCGGTCGTCACGGCGACCTCGTGCAGCATTTTCGATGACGGCAACTTGTACCTGGACCCGACATCCGCTGAAGAAGAGGTATCATAATTGCATATCCAGCGTTGAGTACGAGGATCTCACGCTGATTGTTAAATGTCCTACAGGAAGCTGTTTCATGGGTCACCACCGCGCGATCTAGCACGAGTGACGGAGTCTTGACCTGCATCAGCAACGGTAAGTGCAGTCAGTACAAATTTGAACTGAAGTGACACCTTTCTGACAAATCTTGTTGTTCTTTTCGTCCAGGTTTGCTGTCAGAAGAGCAATATTTCGCATGTTCAGAGGCATGCCAGAGGTATGTGCTGCAGTGATAATGCTTCAAGGCAGGACGTCTATTAACGCTCGCGTACTTGGTGCTTTTTTCTTTGTAGGGCATCGGAGAGTGTGGCGGCTTTCTTCCGCATCGTTCAGCAGAAGAAACACCCACTCGAGTCGGCTGGTCAGTAAATTAATACTGGAATAGAGTGCTTCACCTTGCTCGAAAAATGCAGGTGAGGTAGCAGCTCCTAAGCGACCTGGACTGACTTTTGCTGCATTAAGTGGTCTTATTTCGTGTTGAATGTTCATTTTGCTCCAAGGTGTAGCCACTTAGCTGATATGTCGATGCAGATGCCGTGCAATTAGCCATACCGAACCGTATCGTCGACAAACCAGTCAAACTTCTCGTTGCCAAAGCCAGCGATAACGCTTTTGATCTGCGAGTACGAACGATACGCCTCCAGTCCATTCTCTCTCCTGCAGTACAACAGTCACCGGTAAAAAGCTTTAGCGTATTAATCCTGCTAAACCATAATTTTGAACAGCTCACCCCATGCCGCTATCCTTGACACCTCCCCAAGGACTCGACGGATCGTTTCGATGATGATCGTTCAGCCAAACTATCCCGGCTTCCAAACTGTTGGCCACACGATGAGCTCGCTTGATGTTGTTGGTCCATACAGCCGCACCAAGCCCAAATGGAGAATCATTTGCCAGCCGAACAGCGTCGGCTTCATCCTGTAGACACAGCAGCAAGCATCAGTCTCGAGAAGTACAATGGTATTTGGAGGAAGCTCACCGTGAAGGAATACGCAGCTACCACTGGACCGAACACTTCTTGCTGCACAATTTCCATGTCAGGTGTAACATCCGTGATCACAGTCGGCTCGTAAAAGTATCCCTACAACAAGTCTGTATCAGTTGTTCAGTGTAAAACTCAGGTTGGCAGCATACTACGCACCTTTAGATCAGGAGCACGACGTCCTCCACAGCGTACTGTAGCACCCGCTTGTCTGGCACGCTCCACCACTGCGTGAATGCGTATGAGGTGCAGCTGTGAAATAATGGTACCCATCTGTGTTCGATCGCTCATTGGGTCACCAAGACGGATCGAGCGAACTTTCGCTACCAGCTTTTTCACCAGCTCGTCAAAGATACTCTCGTGAACGATCAAGCGCGCACCCGTAACACAAGTTTGACCACTTGCAATGAAGCAGGCAAACGCTGCTCCATTCACCACTTCGTTCACATCCACGTCGTCAAAAACAACAATCGGAGCTTTACCGCCCAGCTCCATCGTCGTGCTTGCAAGGCTTCTTCCTGCCGCTGCAGCCACAATTCTCCCTGTCTTAGTGCCGCCCGTGAAATCGATTTTCTTAATCGCTGGATGCTCAGCAAGAGCCTGACCAGCAACTGCTCCGAGACCAGGAACGCAGTTAAAGACACCAGCAGGTAGTCCTGCGTTATGGCACAACTCAGCGAGCTGCACAACGGTGAGCGGTGCCAGCTCTGACGGCTTTACAACGACGGAGTTGCCTGCTGCCAAGGCAGGCGCCAACTTCTTGACAGCAATGAGCAACGGATGATTCCAAGGCGTGATCTGCATCATAACTACAACATTAACAACGCGACTAACTATCTCCGCAAGCGTCCGCTGTTAAGTTACGCACCAGTCCAACAGTTCCGAGTGGGAGGCGCTGTGTATAGTTGACATAAGGCCCCAAAAACGGCGGCACTGAGCCCTCGGACGTCCGTGCCAGAGCTGCAAAATACTCGAACCATTCTTTACATTCCTATCAGTACAGTACCCACCATCATAGTTCTTCCCATTGTCACGCACCGGGGATTCTTGTGAGTTGTGCCCTCATCTCTCTGACCGGTCGTCCAGTCTGCAGAGTTTCCTTCTCTGCAAACTCGGGGATCCGCTTACGTAGCATTGGCGATGTCGTTGAGCACGTTGGCGCGCTCCGAAACTGACGCTCGTGACCATAAACCAGCCTCGAATGCGCGCTGTCCACTGGCTACAGCGCGATCGACATCTGCAGCAGTAGCGTTATTCACGTACGCGAGACGCTCCATCGTTGCAGGGTTCTCCACCGCTAGCTGAGTATCTTCGCCTGACGCTGCCACGAATTTGCCGTCGATAAAAAGCCCGTACTCATTCCGGTCGAAGGCTCCAGACGACGCGTAACGAGCGCAGACACAGGGGGTACGTATAGCGAGTGCGGACCGGCGGGCGACGAACCGCGACATCGGTGAGTTTGGGGCAGCAGTATGCAGAATGATTTGAAAGATGACAAGCGACCATCACTCTGCTCAACTTCAACTTTGTATGCGACGGTTTACCAATCAGAGAGATCTAATGTCGTAGGAAGCTCCTTGCTTCATGGTGTTCTTCTAGGGGGGTTAATGTGTGGACTTGCGTGCTACACAGAACGAAGGCGTCGGTGCTTCGCGAGGACTGGGCGACGGCCGAGCAGATGGAGCGTGCGCAGCTCCAGTTGCTGAACGTCGTCGACTTCATCAACAAATTTCGTACGCAAAAATCTTATTGAAAACAGCTATGTTTGAAACCCTCACAGCTTCTGGATCCAGACGCAAGCGCTAAAACCCGACTAGCTGTTTTGAGCGAGAAGATGACAGCTATCGAGAGAAAGCTGAGGTTGGTATTGCTGGACTGTCGTGGCTGTAGTGATGCTGATCGTAGCTGCTGGCGTCATTTAGACACGTTGAGAATGCAGTGCGTAAGGCGCGAATTCTGGCAGCCATGGACCCAGCAGAGTAATGCAACTGCGTTGCGACAAACGTAATATACATCAAGCGTTAAACGCAATCTTCTTGCTCAAGTTAACTACTGTTGGAGCTGCTTGGTCTCGACGGCAACCGAAAAGAGCGATAACCTGTCCTTGCAAGAGAAGTAGGAGGCTTGCGCAACTCCGCGGTTTTGATCGTGTCTAGTCTAGGAGAATCGGACCCGAAATTGGCCGGGTCAACGTCCTCTTCAGGTTTCTCTTCAGCTCTGTTTTGATTGTTGCCAGAGCTTGCCATCACCTGTTGCATGAGAAACTGCTTCATTTCAGCTTCAATCGCGTCGCTGTCCTGCTGTGGTTCCCAGGGTACTTCGCTCTTCTCTGTCGTTTGAGTTTGCACTCCGAGCGACGTAGTGATTTCGTTATTCTGCTCATGGTGATCATCGACTGCTGCAGTAACATTCAACTTCTGATCACCAACAGATCCAGATTTTGATACAGATAGGGCAGGAGCTGGCGGTAATGACGTCTGCGTCTCCATCTCGCAACCGGGCGTAGGCATCTGAATACCAATGGGTTTGTTATTGCTCATAAGCGACTCTAGGGGATCCGTCCCCGCATCAACGCATGACCGTCGAATCAGTGACTGCACCGTTCTCGTGCGATGAGCAATTCTCGGGATCCTCTCCATATCCGTAGCACAACCCACGGACACAGTACTCGACGATGTCGAAGCAATGCTTTGTGTAGCTTCATGAACATCATTCAATCGGTTTTCCACCTTAGTAGTCAAAGCGCTCCTCTTGGCCGCAATGGCTGCTGAAATCGATTCGGCAGGTGCTGAAGTGCGAGATCTTTTCTGCTCCTTTCGTTCAACCGAATCGCTTCTGTCGACTGACTCCGCGGCTCCATCTGCGACGCGATGCAACATTTGTTTTATTTTCTGCAGCCGACTACGCACTTCCTCTTGAGCTCTGGCAAGTTCTTCAGTACTCGTTAGTTTGGTGAGATTGCCTGGGTAAAACGTAAACAGTATACAAATGTTACTGGCTAGAAAGTGTAAGGAAACAACAAGCACGTACCGATTCGAGAAGACGGCGTGTGGAAAACAGGAGCGGTATCGGATGTCACCGGCCTCCCAGCCGGAGTTCGTACACGGGCACTTCCAGGTCGAGATGCAGCTGAACCGGGGCGATACGATGGTGTTGAGGCTCTCGAAGAATTGAACAGTTCATCCTGCGATATTGTTCCTTTCTTCAGGGTTTCACGAGAAATCTGCAACTGCGCATCGGTGAACGTATCAAGAGTTTTCAGCTCTGGAAATGCCGTCATCACGTCGAGAAGATAGCTTGATACGAGCATATACGAATCACGCAACACAATTGTGTCAGCGTCAAATTCCCTGTTATCAAACTGTTGCTGTTCGAGTACCTGCTTGAAAAGCAGCACGGATTTCCATGCACCCAGATATCTTGCAGTGCCGCACACTTTGCAAGAACCGTGATCTGGGAGCTTGATTCAATCTGGTTGTTTCGCAAATCGACTGATTCCAGCTGAGGGCATCGTGCTGGGAGCGATTCTATGTCTGTGATGATGTTATCGTGAGCATAAAGTTCATTTAGCCTTTCCAGTGGTGTGAGTAGGCCTTGAAAGTTGGATACTTGGTTCCCGTTCACACGTAGGATCTGTGCAGGCAGCAAGCTAGATCAGCACTCGGCACAAATGATGAAACAACTGTAGACCCACCGCTAGATTAGGAGGCATTACGCCTTGCAAGGTTGTCAGTTTATTCTCCGACAGGTTTAGCTCTTCAAGCTTGATGAGGTGGGTGAGATTGCCTACAGATGTTAGTTGGTTCCCCCCAAGGTTCAAGTACTCCAGGTTGGTCAGAGCATCCAAACCCTGCGAGAATTATGCAAAATGGGTGGTCACTCGGTCCACACATCTGAGTGCAGCTTTTTGCAAAGAGTACAAACCTCTGACGCTGCACCTTCAAGTTTATTGCGGCCTAAGTCCAGGTGCACTAGTAGCCTGCATCCTCGAAGGTTCTGGACTGATGTGATTCTGTTGCCGTTAAGCCAAAGGTTTTTCAATCTACTCAGCGCTAGAAAATCGCTAGATATCTCTTCGATCAGATTGTCGTTCATCTGAAGTCCTTCCAAATTCGAGTTGCTGCAAAGAAAAACAACAACAACATGAGCGCACTCACTACCCATACCTATTCAATATCGCCGCTGCTCACGCTTTCAAACCGGTCGTGTTCGTGAGTTTATTATTGTAGATCTTGAGCTCGCGTAGCTCTCTGGCCGTGCTAACGTTTCGCAGCGACGTGATCTTGTTGAATGACACGTCCAGTGAGCACAACTTTAACAGCTACGCAGCACCAACCACACATCACAGTAAACCAACTAAGCATTTCTTTAAAGTGTTATGCTGTTGCAGGCATACCTCCGACAAATTGCCGATCTCTCCAATCGACCTGTTGTGCGCATCAATGACGTATTTGCTCGAGTTGAGCTCCGTCAATAGCACTCTCTACATACATTTAGCCAAGCTGTCAGCTATCAGCTATTCCTTCAGCATTGGCCACAACAAGTTGGCATACCAATGCCGGGCCATCGAGCACTTGGATCTGCGTAAAGTTGGCGTCCCCTCTCATCACCTTTGGTGTGTCGCTTCAAGGCAAAATGATGAAACAGCTGTTTAGTGAATTCTATTTCATCCAATCAGAACGCTATATTCTGTTCAAACAATTCCCGCGCTCATAAGCCAAACTCGCCCGAAGAAGCCACCACTAAGGTACGGGATGGTCTCTCTTGGTCATCGAGAGCGGCATATCCGAGTCTATCAGGGCGCTCGTAGCGTGTGCTGCGTGTTGGCTAACGCTGTGATGCTCTAAATTTCTCTTCAATAGCAGTATGGAGGACACCACAAGCAGCAACGTCGACACCAAGTTGGTCTTCAGCGACTCGGAAGCCAACACGACGCCCAGCGCTACCCCCAGCGCCAGCACCGACGCCTCGCAGGCAGACCTACAGGCGCAGCTTGCGCTCTTCCAACAGCAACAGCAGCAGTACATCCAGCAGCTCGTAAGTGCCACGTTCTCCCTTTTCTAAGGCAAAGCTAACGGGGTTGCTCTCCTTCTCTCTTGGTTCTTATGACTGCTGCTCCATTGCGCAATTTTAGATGGTAAGGAGAACAATTCATTGCGGCGAAGTGCGACACAACTTGGCTAATGCATTTTCTGTTATATTACAGCAACAAACCAACAGCGAGCAGCTTCGTGCCATGTACAATTCGAACGCCATGATGCAGCCCTATATGGTAAATCTTGAGCACATGTTTGTACTATATTACGCTCTCATTAACTGACGTTTTGTCTTGTCGTTTTAGCTGTCGCAGTCGATGTTCCCGCGTCCTACGACTCCCAACTCGGCCGAGACTACGGAGGAGGAGCCAGTCTACGTCAACGCCAAGCAATACCACCGCATTATGATCCGTCGACAGCAGCGAGCAAAGCTGGAGGCCAAGCTAGGAAGTAACCGCCAGCGTAAGGCATATCTGCACGATTCGCGGCACAAGCACGCCATGCGGCGGCCGCGTGGTCCCGGAGGCCGATTCCTCACCAAGGACGAGATTCAGGGACTGAAGGACGGCACAATGGTATTTGAAGACCTGCCCAGGAAGGCTGCCCCCAAGCAACAGTAGCTCTGTTCTTCCTGAGGTATCACACCACTGGTCAGATAGCAGCACACTCATTTTATTTGTTATTCCGTGACGTAAGCAATGAAAGCGGAAACTGCATGTTGTTCTCTTATTTCTCCAATGGACGGACATACGCCACTTCACCAGATTTCGACACGATGAGTCCGCAGGGACGTGTTCGCTGCGGTTTATCTTCAAGTCCGAGACTTGCCCAGATGCGACGGTTTCCGAGTGCTGTTAGCTGCGCACGCTTAGCTGCAATTGTTTCCTTGTCAAAGTTCTCGAGAGGTGCGTAGATGCTGTTGATGTGCAAGTTGTCTGACAAACATAGCGTTAGTGACACAGAATAAGCCCCCTCTTGCCATAATCAACGTACTGTTGTCGGTGAGTTCTCCAGCTTCTTCCTCCTCTCCTGTGTTCCCGTCAGTCTTGAGACTCGAATCACGTTCGAACGAGTTGGTGTGACGCAACGAAGGAGGCTTGTCCGGTATCGAAGATGCATCAGCGATCGATGAAGGCGTGACTTCAGGAGATGGTGGGGCGTCGTAGTCGGTTCTCCTGTACGAAGGTCGTTGGCCTGCATACAAGCAAGAAACAATTAGCCCCAGAACTCCAGACCCTGTTCACATATCAGTACTCCACTACCATAAGTATTCTTGGTCGGTGTACATGAACACGTAGAATTACATGCACAATGCGAGAAGTGGCAGAACCGACCGCGCTGACATACGCCCTTGTTTTGGAAGTCGTAGCATACACCTGTCCCAGGCCCTTGGCCACCACCTGCTCCACTACCACGTTTCTTCTTACTTGGTGGAGCAAAATCCTATTACACAAGGGTAACATTGATAGATTGCAGAAGCAACAACTGAAGAAGATGAAACACTTACGTCTGCCGTTGATGGAGTGTCATGACGACTCTTTTGTTGAGGTTTCTTGCTGGGATCGTCGGGAAAAAACCGCTCGATCTCGTCAAGTTTAATATCTTCGCCAATTGCTTTCTCTATCATCGCAAGATAACTGCGCTCGAGCGGCATACTGCGATCTGGGCGGCATCGGATAAACTTCCAGCCACCTTTTCATAAACAAACAGACAGATGAGAGATCAACAACAAGTCTACGCACCAGCACATGTCTTTGCCGTACCTTTCCGCCATCCGATGCCGCGATCGGTAGCATTAAACTCCGTGCTTCCAGAAGTCCAGGTGCTCTTATCGTGTGACGGAATGTACGTGAGCCACTCGGGATCGTACACACACTCCACGATACGCGAAGACGCTTTCTTGTCCTGTCGGAAGGCCTCGAAGTCATCTGATGGCAAAACATACACAGATACGATGAGTTTAATCCTCCATTCATACGCCAATAAAGACTCATTCTACCTGGTGCGAATGTGATCCAGTCGTGAAAGATCTGTGTGCGCTTGTCATGGATTATGAGCTTAAATCCGGGCTTCGGTGGACGTCCTCTCCATTCAACACCCAGTTGGAAGTCTGCAAACAACACTGACGATGGCGTCCAATTATACAGCCCCTTAGAGTACCCGGGCGTGTATGGCAGCAGCACAGGCGTGAACACCAGTCCGGCATTCTGCCTTGTCTGGGAGACTCTCGGTAGAATGCTGCGGATCACATGCCCCACACGGTTGATGGGGTACATGGACTGCAGCACGAGTTGAAACATGTCGGGTGGTTGTCCTTTGGGCGGCGGTAGTTGCTTCCGTGGACCCACCACGTCGTTCTGGATGAGCTTGAGTCGGTCCTGCAGCTTGGAGGTCATCACGGGGCTGCCATTGAGTGCCAGGATGTCGTACAGTAGCAATGTGAGCACCGACTTGTTGCCATCTTTGTCACACACCATAAGTCCGTCCAGGATTGTCCATTGATGTGGCACGACTGTGTTGCGATCCACACCAGGTTGCAGACGATCGGGGCGCACGGGGCAGAAGAGCGTCACCTCGCGGATCTCGTAGTTCTGTGAGATAAGGTAGCAGCGACCCTGTACTAGCAGTGCTAGGTAGCGCACGCCCACCGACTTCTCGCACACGAAGTAAGGGTGTTCGCCAATCTGCTGTTCGTTGCCACGCAGCATGGTTTGAGCCACGTTCATGGGCGCGCGGTCCAGCTCATTCCAGCCCACGATAGCGTTTATCTGGCGCTGCAGCTGCTTCTTAGTGTTCACATGCACGGGCTGCCCCAGCTCCACGGGCACGCCCGCGATGGTCTGTGTCCCGGCAGGACCTGCAGACGTCATGACGGAGTGCCAACAGAATACGAATTTAAGCTTGTAAATCGAAATTAAGAGATTTGATTTTAAATCCGAACTTAAGTCGAGACAGTGTATTTTCATCTTCCTGTATTCGGAACTTTACAGAATATAAACCCGTAAGTACGAAATCACTAATTTCGGTTCCTGCCCCGGAGGCACAACCCTAGCACCACCTACAGCATTCCTCAAGGTAGTCCCACCGGCCTGCTTATATTTTTTTGTCCTACCAAATTTTGGTGCTAGGAGAAACTTAAAAAAACCTTAACTCGAGGTTTTATCCTTTTTCGTAGGACAA